AATTTATAATATACTTATCTTCCTTCTTAAATATATTCTGAAATCTTTAAAATAAAATATTTAATTAAATATTTATTATCCCTAAGCAGTAATTAATTATAAAATTAAAATAGTTTAAAAACTAGATTTAATATATCTATTACTTTATAAACCACTGTTAGATTATAAAGTATTTTAAATTCTAATAATTACTAAAAATTTTAAAATAAAAAAATATAATAAGCTCTATCTTTTATTTTTATAAAACTTAGATAATTACCAGTAATTTCTTATTATAAATCTAATAATTATACTCTGTAGATAGATTTTTCTTTAAAAAATATATTATCAGATAAAAAGTTTCTTAATTATTTTACTGAAACAGTATTCCTCCTGTATATTATCTAAAAAAATTAATTTTTATTAATATTTCTTATTTAAGATTTTAATATATAAGAATAGGGGCAGTAGTAAAAATCTTTTTAAGAATTTTAAATATTTTTTAAATTTCTAATATTTAACTAAACTTAATATTTTTTTTAATAAGTTATATTAAAAATTCTAAATAGATTCTTCAGTTTTTAAAAAACTGCTAATAAAAATTAATAAATTCTAAAAAAATTCTAATATTATAAATAATTTTTAATATCTTCTAGTTCTGTATAGTCTAGATCTTAATAAAATCTATATAAATCTCTTTTTTTATCTTAATAATAAATTTCAGATATTTTATAGTGGTCATCTTAAATTTATATTTATTAATATTTACTTAAAGACTAATATTCTATAAGTGTTCCAGTACTTGCTGTACCTAGATACAGTATATAATTAGATTTTTATCTATAAAAATAAAAATATTATTAATATAAATAAAATAGAATTTATTAAAGAATTCCTGTAAGATTTAATTAATATATTATTAAAATATATTTAAATAGTTAACAAGCCTGAACAGGACTACTAATTATTTAAATAATTTAAAATAAATATAAAATATAGTTTTCTATTTATCTTCTTCTTTAATTCAGATATAATAGAAGATCTGAATAATATTTAATTTAGTATAATAATAAATCTTTAAAATATATTAAAAAGTTTCTTAAATAAATAGTAAGAGATACTAATTTTTTATAATTATTTAATTAAATACTTAGTAATTTATATAAAAATATAAATTATTATTAAATTTTAAGATAAACAGCATGAGTACAGCTACTAAAGAATTACTAATTCTTATAAATCTTTTTTCTAAAAGATTAATCAGGATCTTCTATAATACTAAAAGTTCTAATTAGTTTATTTAATAGAAAAAATCTTAAAAAATCTTTTTTTTCTTTTTTTTAATATCTTTAATTATTTTAATAACATAATCTACCCCTGAATAATAAAATAGTAAAATATCTGTTATTATTTTTTTAAAAATATTTAAATATTTATAATAAAAGTCTGGTAGCTTGCTTTCTATTTTTATAAAAATTTTTAACTAGTTAAGTTTATAAAAAACTTTATTAATATCTATCAGATTTATTATAAATAACTTTACTAAGTCTTTTTTCTTTTTTTAATTTTTTTAAGTATACCATACATTAACAGAAATTATAAGTAATATTAAAAAATAATTTTATTTTTATTTATATTATACTTCCACCCCCATACTCTGGATATTAAGTATAAAATTCTTAATTTAAAATATTATATTCTAGTATTTTATTTATAGAAATTTTAATATAATATTATATTTATATATGCATGGCAGAATATAAAAATATATATATTTTTATAAATTTTTATTTATATTTAATAATATTTTTATTAATTTAATTATATAGGCTTCCCTTCTCTCAAATTCTTATTACTTTAAAATTTAATAAAGATATACTTTAGTTTATTTTTATTTATAAAATTCTAGCTGATTATCATGTAAAATATATAATTAATATTAATTAAAATATTCATAAAATAAATTCTATTAATTAATCTTAATATAAAGAAGGTATAGTGGCCTTTAAATCCTTAAATCTTTTTTTTAAATTTTTTATAATTATAATTAATTAATATATATCTTTCTAGATAATAATCTAGAAGAGTTATATTTTTTCCAGAACTAGAAATTATTAAATAACTAGATTTTTTAATATCTAGCTAGCTTTATTAGCTAGATTATTTTTAAATAAATTTTAATAAACTTTATTTTTTAAGTTTTAGAAGTACTATAGTAAAAAATAAAAATATCTAGTAATATAATATTTTAAGAACCTGTAGTATAAGTAGAATCTTATCTTATAATATTTAATTAATATTTTTTTTAATATTTATTAAATTTATTAAGCAGATCCTGTACTTACTACTATAGATTTTTAATTTATAATATTATTTATAATTATTTTTTTAGAAGTGCTACCTGTCCAGGTATTTAAATATTTTAATTATTTTTTTAAAAATTAATTTATTTTTATGAGTTTATCAGCTATCTGTTTAATTTATTAATAAAAATTTTTAAAATCTGATTTTTATTTAATATCTATTATCTATTAACAGATATTATTATTTAAAGCTTAATATAAAAAATTCTTTTTATTTAAATTTTTTTAATTATATTCTTTAATCTTAATTAACAGACTGTTAACTTCTACCAGAAGATTATTAATTATTTAATTTCTTTATTTAAGAATAAATAACTTATTAATAACTTTTTCCTGTTAAACTGGATCCTTATAAATTAATTTAAAATAATTAATTAAAACTGTAATTAAGAAGAATAGAGTCTTATAATTAATTTTTATTTATAAATTAATCTTTATTTTAACTTTTTTATTTAAAAATATAAATATATATTAAGCCTGTTCAGCTGATATATTAATAAATTATTAATTAATCTTAATCTTTATTTATATATTATTAAATTAATTTAAGAATTTATTTTTATTCTTTCTATTAAAACTTATAGATATTAATAACTTTAGTTTTTTTATATTAATCAGATCTTAAACTAGTACTGATACTAATATTAATATTAATATAAATAAAAATATTATAATAAATACTTAAGAAGATAGGAGTTAGATATTAATAAATTATTTAATTTATTTAAAATTAATCTTAATCTTATTATTTGTTATTATATTTTATTAAAAAATAATATATTATATTTCTATACTCTAGATTATTAGTTTTTTAATATATTTAATTAATTAGTTAATAATGTTAGCTTAAATAATATCTTTATAATAACTAAAAATATTTATTAATTTATTATAATTATTATATATTACCAGTCTATTATCTAATAAATATTTTAAAAGAGAATAAATTTAAAATTATAACAGGCTAAGAAGCCAGAAGAACTATATAAAATATAATAATTAATAAAGAAATTAAATTTATTAAAAAAAGAATTATTTAATTTATAAATAGATTAGTTCTTTTTATAAATAACTTTTCTAAGAGTTTTTCTTTATAATTTCAGTAAACTCTTTTACTACTCTAGAGATTTCTATTTTTCTTATAGATATCTCCAGATCAAGATCTAGAACTAGACAGATCAGAATATAGATATTCTGATTCCAGATGGCTGACAGGGCCTAGCCCTTTTTATCAGGTTAACAGTCAGGTATAGAAAATATATATATCATTCGCGGTTAACCTGCGGTTAACTGTTCTTTGCTTAATTATTCTAATTAGGCTAGCTCAGGCTGTAATTAGGCAGAAATCAGGCAGAAATTTATTGCCACTTTGACCGCCTTCTTAAATAGGCCTGATTTCAGCCTGATTTTAGTCTGATCAGGTATAACGGTTAACCGCGGTTAACCATTGTACCTGACAGTTAAAAGATTTTTCTACCTTAACCTGACCGCCAGGTTAAGGTCAGGTTACGGTTAAGGTATAACGGTCAGGTATAACCACTCTAATTCTGTTTTTTTATATGAAAGAATATTATTAAAATTCTGTATTAATAAAAATATATTAATCTTTAATAATATATATTTTAGTGAACTTACTTAATTTATAAAAAATAATCTTGGAGGACTCTTCAATATTATAAATAGAATTATTAATATTATCTAAATTAAGGAATAATAATAGATTATTTAGAAAAGATTCGTATAGCAGGTTATATATAATAGAATATTTATAAAAAAAACATTATTAAATTCTTTCTTATTATTTTTATTAATTATTTTTCTTTATTTTATCTTTTTTAACAGTGACTCTTGCTTCTTAGTCTTAAATTTCTTAAGAATAAATTTATTTAATTTAATGTTTTAGAAAGTTATTGCTAAGATTTAATTTTAAGATTTCAATTAGTTAAATCTTTTTAATTTTATTTAATTATATAATTTAGATAAATATCAAGTTTAACTAATCAGAGCTTGAAAATAGAGTAAATTAATTAATTAAATTATTTAAATTATTCTAGTAAATATATAATTCTTAGAATATATAAAAAATCTGGATCTAATATATAACTTAGAAGATATATATTATATATTAATTATTAATAGATTAAAAATATAGAAAATATATTAATTACTGTATTATCTATTATAATAATATTTATTAAAGTAATACTTTTTACTGTAACATATATTTATATAATATTTAATAAACTTAATCAGACTTACTATACTCAGAAAAGGATATCAATCTAATTGAATTTCGGTTATATATACTAACCTGATTAAATTTCTGTTATATATGTTAACTGAGTTTAGAAATAAATATTATTATCTTTTAAAATTTATAACTCTGTATAATAATCTCTTGAAAGAATAAAACTTATATTACTGTATTTCTTGTAAGAAGCTCTATCAGAGAATACTAGTTTAAAATTAATCAGATATCATTTGACTGTTGTCTCGTTGTGAAGATTTCCCTACTAGAAGTATACTTATTTGGGCCGGTGTGGCCGCGATTTATGCAATGAAGATGCTTGACATACGGAAAATTTTTAAACACGGTCTATCTTTTGAACAAAATGTATGATATTATACTGGGAGCCGTGCTTCAATAACAAACTCTCACTTCACTGGACGATGCTCCAACTAAGAGGATGTACCCTCCACAGATGCATATGTCACGGTATAATGAAGCACAGCCAGTTACCCGGCCCTATAGCTGGGCTTTGCTCTAGCTGGGCTTTGCTCACACTTCTAAGCCTCCAGCAAGGTCTCCAGCATCTCCTCCGGCGTCCTCCGCGGCGCAGCAAGCTCCAGAACTTCCTGACTGGTGGGAACAGTCGAGAAACTTCCATCCCACGTCTTCTCCGCCGCCCGCTTCATAGACAGAACTACATTGCGCGAGATGCCAGGGCCCATATACTCCGCCTCAAGAAAATCATCAAGCCACGACCGATCTTGGTAACTGACGTTCTTGACAGGTACCCCGATAATATTTTCGACGAGACGCAGAATCCCCTCCCCGGTGATCTCCTCGGGTCCATTGAGGACGTATTTCTTCTTGTTGTGCTTAGTAGTATCCGCCTGCGCGAGCAGATTCGCCGCGACGACACCGACTTCATCAGAATCGATAACCCCAACCGGGGTATCTTTCGACCCTATCAATTTCAACGCCCCTTGCTGTCCCGTCTCGCGAAACTCTTTGATAAACTGCGCGGCAGAAAAGAGAAATATTTGAAAAACATTTGGCTGCAGACTCGTCCAGTGCAAATTCTCAAACTCCGTTGCCCCGAGAAGGGTTTCGATCGCCCAGTGCGCACGCGGATAATACGCAATGGAATCGGGGCTCACATGCGCGGCGGTCGTTGAGATTCGAACAACGTATTTCACACCCGCATCGCGCAGCGATAAGTGGAAGGTTGATTCGTCAGCGAATTGGGTAGTTTTGTTGTGCGGCGCTATAAATGCTCTAACTACTTTTTGGGCAAGGAGCCATTCAGGAGTGATTTCGGTCCAGGATTGTTCGATGACTTCGACGCCTGGAAGGCTTGCGAGGTGTTGCGCGATGGAGCTGGTTGTGGAGCGGGTGAGGGCGAGGATTCGGTAGTTGGCAAGGGGCGAGGAAGGCACCTGCAGGAGGTTGGAGAGGGTCTCTGTCGTGCTGCGCCCGGTGTTGCCCGTTGCGCCGGCGATGAGGATTGAGGGAGCCATAGCTGATAGGAAGCGTTGATGAATTTTTATTGTTTCTGCTTTAACAGACTTGGGGGATATGATATCTTGAAAACGCGAACAAGTGCAGAGGTAAATATACTCCTCTGATGGCTTATTAATGTGGATTTCTAAAGAGTGGGCGCTCCGAGTGGGCACGCCGAGGGGGTCTGCGATGCCAAGATTCTACCGTGGATCCCAGGGCCTAACGAACCACCAAACTTCTTTTCCTCTCTTTGAATTTTTACTAAGCTTGGAAAGTGGGAGGCCCGGAGACTCACTGGAATATTCCATGATTTCCGATTGTGCACTGAGATTGCTTACACAGGTCTCTGCCCTCGTAGTCATAATAGCCTGGCAGAATGGTATCTAGTGGACACAAATGTCAGTTCCCGCGGTGCATCGCGAAATATCAACGGAAAGAGCATCTCAGTCGCCACGAGGCGCAACATACCCGGCGTCGGGTTCTGCAGTGCCCAACCTGTGCCCGCGAGTTCGGCCGAAGGTAAGAAAAGTTCACCCCTGCGAATATTGATTTGCAATATAGATTCTGAATTCGAATATAGCGACACTCTCCGACGACATATTCTGAGAGTACATGGCGTACCTGAGCTCACCCCTCAAATCAAAAAGGCATGCACACATTGTCGAAACCAGAAGATCCGGTGTCATGGCGGGCCACCATGTGCCAACTGCCAGCGTCGCGAAATTGAGTGTTCGCTTGCGCGGCGGGAGGAGACAGCGACAGACACACGACCGACGATCCGTCAATCTATTCCCCAGCAACCTAGGCAACGTCGCACGGAACTTGAAGACCGCTTTATAGGCATCTATTTCGATGTATTTCACTCGCAGTGGCCGTTCATTCATCGGGGCACGTTTATTGAATATGAGACTCCTTTACTCGTTCAGTCGATGGTTGCTATCGGGTTGTGGATGAGTGGGGAAGAGAAGGAGAAATCCAAAGCGATCGACCTGCATAATGTGCTTGGGAAGGCTATTCGACAACAGACGGTATATCCCACAGATTCAAGCCACCACGTTAAGATCAACTCACTGACAACTAATGCCCAGGAACAATGGGACGGCTCCGAATCAGAGCACGCAACCCCTGCATGCAAATGGCCTATCCCAACATACCAAGCGATGCTGCTCCATATAATCTCTGCCGGAATGATGAAAAGCAGCGTGACATCCCTCCAACAACACCTAAAACCCTCTCTTCCACCTGTCGAGGCCGATCTCCTTCACAGACTTGTTGCGAGCTGTAAAAGACTCGGAATGCTCTACTATCCAAACATCCTCACCCGCTTCTCCACGAAGGAGCCGGAGGCGTATGTCTGGGTCAGTATCGAGGAGATCAAACGTTTCAACTTGGCCTTATTTAAGCTTTGCAGTGCTGTCAGCGCTCCTTCACCTGAGCCAGGGGACGGGGACGGCATAGACAGCTTGACAGTGGGTAGTAGAGACGAAGCAGGGAAATGGGGCTTGTTGGCACGCGAGTTGCAATTCCCATTGCCGAGCAATACGCCATTGTGGAATGCTCTCACTCCAGAGGAATGGTTTGCTGCCGATACCCCGGATGTGTACCGGCATAGTCTGCATGACAATCTGGAACAAGATTGGATCTCGAGGTCTGCGGATGTCTTGGAGCTGATTAGGACTTGATGTGTATTATTCTGTACAGTGCCGAACGGTATTGCATTTCATACATGTTAGATATATACAGTAGATTCACGTTTTCAAACCCCAATCACATGACACGCTTACCCTTATGTGGATATTTCCGTAATTAATATTTTGTTCCAGGTGCGTATGGTCCAGATATGAAAGTATATACGCAGTATATATGTTAGGTGTGTCCCATATACTGAAGATACAATTTGATACACACCCGAAATTATTATGTAATTTACTTACGGCGTAATACCCGCGCAACTGTCGGAATAACTCTCAATATAGACAAAGGTTTCTTGGCAGTGGGGCTAAATAATCAGTGAAAGAGTGTTAACTAACAGTTGCGCCAGTTTCGGGACGCACTGTAACGCATCGGGTAGTTGTGCAAAGTACTGTATATGCTGAAGGTTGGTTGAATTGGATATCAAACTATTGCAGACAATTGTGTTGTTGTGGCAGCTGTCATTATATACCGAGCGGGAACTAATCCCGGCCTGATAATAATCCCGCCCGCAGGGATTACTGAATCCTATCTTATAAACTCGCAGGAAATAATAATAATTTTCAGTGACTATGATGTTACAGACCCCTGCTAGTTAACCTACTAGTAAGGCGGACTTGCCAGGCAGAAAATACTAATAAGAACAGTACTCAGACAAAGCTGAATTATTATTAAATATAATTTTAGATTATTTTTATAATATTTAGAATAATCTTATATTATATAATTATTTATTATTAAATGTATTACTAAAGATATACTCAAGATATACTAAGATCCTGGATTATAATTAGATCGACTATCATGCTATCCTGGATAGTATATAATATAATATATAAAAAATAAAATATATAAAAATACTTTTTTATATATTTAATTAGTTTTATTCTTCGTGCTTAATCTTATTATTTCTAAATAATTATATGTTTAAAAACTTAATTACAGAAATACTTATTTATACTTATTTATAAATAGCTGTATAGTATTATTTAATCTTACTTTTCTTTTTTTTATCTAAAATTAATTATTCTTAGATAATTATCAGCCTGATACCCTTTTAATCTAATTTAATAATATATATACTAGTAAAACTAAGCTAATAGAGATAGAAAAATAATTTTAGGATTTAATATATTAAGTATTAGTTAGTATAAATATTTACAGAATAAAGATTAGAGAATATATTTATAGATATATTTTTATTATTTAGAATTTTACTAGATATATAGATAAGATAATATAAATTATTATTATTATTTATTTAAAATTAGTTAAAAAATAGAAGTAGTAGAAATGAATCTATAATATAACTATAAAAAATACTTATATAAATATTTTTAAAAAAATAAAAGATATTAGAGACATAATGAATTCCCTTAAATTATATATTATATAAATATATATTCTATATATTATAATTAAAAGTATATCATGAGTTACTGATTAAAAGTACTAAAAATAATAAATACCAAGAAAAGTTACTGCCTGTATATCAGTTATAACTGCTTATATATAAAATATAAATAATATTTATATTATAATACCATATATTAGATAATATATTTTAATAATTAATATATAATATATTATACAGCAAAAATAGAAAATTTGAGATTTTTATAAAAATATTTAAAATTACTGGAATTTAATTAGTTAGACCAGTAATTAATAGCTATTAAATTAAAAAAATATTTAAAGATCTAAGTAATTATACTAGATTAATCAGCTTAAGTACTAGTAGATTCTAGTATAACTAGAAACTGTTACAGGACAAGCCCCTACTAGAGGACTTAGCTAACCAGCCTTGTTGCTGCTTGCTGATTAAATATAATATATAAAATCTTAGAAGCTCTGAGATCCTGTTTTAAATAGTAATTATTTTTTTTTATTTAATAAATAATATATTTTTAGAACCAAGAAGCAATTCCTAATATTAAAAATAGTTTTTTAAATAAATCTACAGTACAGAATCTGACTATATAACTAATAAAATATAATAAAATAGAATAAAATAGAATAAAAAAATAATAAATAATATAATATAATTATAATTCCTTACTGATCTCATTAATAAGCTAGAGAGAATTAAATAATAAATAATAAATTAATAAAATTATTATTAACAAGTTCAATAAAATAAATATAGATAATTAAATTAATATATTATAAAATTATAAAATATTATTAATATTTAAATTATAAATAATATTTTTTATAATATTATTACTTTCTCCTCCCAGTACATAATCTTATAATTAAAATTTATATATTTAAAAATTAAATTCTTCAACAAACAAAATAAGAAGAATTATTCTAAATTTAAAATATATTTATAATCTAAATTTCTTATAAACTTAGTTATATATCTAGATAATATATCCTGGGTAGCTTATATATTTAAATATTTAAAAAAAATATAAAAAAAAAATCTTATTATAATATTAAAGTATAGATAACACAGCTACTTATAAAAGAATAATAAAAAAACTAGATAAAATCTATAAAAATAAAAATTAAAAAATAAAAATTTTAAAAAAATTATACTCTTTTTAATAAAATAATAAGAGTTTTAAAGACTTTCTAAATGATTTTAATATTATTTTAATTTAGATAAATAATATAATATAAAAAGATATTTCTAAAATTATAATATTAAAAAACTTAATTAATTATATATTATTATAAATTATTATCAGCCTGGAAAAGAATCTCTTCTATAAGAAATATTATAATTAATTTTAATAATATAATTATAATATAAAATAAATAATATTCAAAAGAAAATATTAGAATTATTAATAATATATATAAGCCTATAATCTCTGTGTAATTTTAATAAATAATATAAAAAATATTATAGATTAAAAATATATTATCTTAGTAATAGATAATAAGAGATAGAAATATATAATTTAATTTAAGAATTTAAATTAGTATAACTTTTATCTCACCAAGTAGATCTTAACTAGAGAATTATAATAAAAAAATAAGTCTTTATCTCTAATATAAAAAAAATAAATATTTAATTTAAGATTATTATTAAAAATCTATATTCTAATCTCCAGTCCAAGTAGCTATTATAAAATATAAGAAATATTTAATAGAAAAGACTACAGATAATAAATAAGATAAAAACTAGAAAAAAAAATAATCTTTATATAAAATCACAGACAAAGATCTTTAAGTAAAAAGTGTGGAAGCTGATCAAATAATCAAATTTGGTGCTATCTAATGAGAATTTCTAGCATGAGAAAAGAAAGAAAGAAGCTCAGGAAGAATATATAATTATATAAAGATAAATAAGTTATACAAGACAGGTAAATAAAGTAAATAAAATAAAAGTCATATAATCCTGAGATATTACTTATTATTATATTATTTTCCTATTTAAGTCTGGCTATTCTTAGCTAGAGATAAGTTATTTTCTTTATAATCTAGTATAAATTTATTAGTCTCTACAGCTATTAACTATTATAAAAAATACTTGGGGGGTCCGGGATAAGTAAAATATTTTATATAATAATTCTAGAAATAAAAAAGAATATTCTTGAAATTTCTTATTAAATATTAGATATAATCAGCTATATTAGATACTAGTTATTTAATTTTATATTAGAAATAATTATATTACAGATAATTAGTTAGAATATTTTTAATCTTTTATTTTATTTAATTATTAACTTTAATAGATACAGCAGTGTCTTAGATCTGTTCTAATAATAAATTAAATATATTATATAAATAGAGTTTCTTAGGATAAAAGATAGAATATATATATATATTCTCAGAAAAATAAATCTTATAAATATTATTAATTTTATTAATAATAAGTATAGAATTATACTAGCTTTTTAATAATTTTTATAAGAACTAGCTCTATCTCCAGTTATAAATATTAATAAAAATTTTATTATTAATATTAAAATTAATAGAGCAGTAAAACCAGTTAGTTTATTATATTTATTAATTTTATATTTTCTAGATTTTATCTTATATAAAGATCTAGATCTATTTTATATAGTAAATAAACTCACGGGCTTAATCTTAGATAATAATATAAAATAATAAATCTACTAGAAAAGTCTAGTTAAATAATATTTAAGATTTATATGCTTTTTTAATTATAAATAGAGATAATCTAGTAGATTTATAAAATAGAGCTATAGTAATAAAATTAATAAATAATAGTAATTCTAACTAGTTATTCTAGAAATAATTAATAAATAAAATAAGTTACTGGATTATATATTAATTAATAATTTCTATTTATTTATTAATCTGTGGATAATATACTATTAAAAGTTTTAATTTAATCTATAGAATTTAATATAGTTTATTCTAAAAGTTAGCTATAAATTAACTTTTTTAATTAGAGATAATAATATTAGGAGGCCCTATCTAGATATAAACTTAATTAATAAATAAACAGATTATGTCTTGTGCGGAGATCTGTTTTATATAAAAAATAAATATTATATACTTACTAAGATAGTCTACCATTATAAAAATAATATTAAATCTGTAATAATCTTTCAGAAAAAAATAGAAATTTATAAATATATATTATTATAGTTGATCAGGGATCAGAAAAAATTAAAATAATCTAAATAATAAATCTTAATATATATTTTTTCTTTTATAAATTAAATAATTATTTATATAATATCAGATATCTCTGTTCCAAGTACTCTAGAAATATTATTATTTAATTAATATTATTATCTTTATTTATCTAGGATAAGCTAGTAATAATTATTAATAAATTTTATCTAGTAACCAGATCTGTAGATTATTTTTATTAGAAATTACTAATTTATTTTAATATAAGAGTAGTCTATTTTATAAAAAGTAATTAATTTTTTACTAGCAGGCTTACTTCTGGAGATCTTCTAAAAAGAAATAAATATAATTTATTTCTAGAATATAATTTATAATATAAAGATTTTATTTCACGGGAACTACTAATACTAGATTAAAAATTATATTAAATTCTAGAAACTCAGGCTTTAGCAGTACTTAATAATAATAATTATTAATTATTTCTGAG